CGCTACATATTATAAAACAAACCTCCAACGCTTATGTTTGCACTTTGAACAGATTTTTATTTGATATCGCCATAATTTATAGATGGTCAATTAAATAAGAATACGACCAATTCTTTTATTCTTAGATCACGGAGTCAGTAAAAGAGACATCAACAATTATAAATATAATGAACGTGTATCATATTAGAATTGTTGAAAAGTGTATAAATAAATAGTAGGTAATTATAATTACCTATTTTATATAATTACTAGCGGCCCGCCCTCGCTTCGCTTCGGTGTAGATCTGAAGTGTAGACTACAGTTTTTGTTCTCAGGCTTGTATTATACACAATGACATTCATCTTTGATTCTTCTTGCAAAGTCTCAACCCGATCGGTTTAAAATTGACAAAGTTTCATACAAACTTTTATTCCCTATTTTATCCCCTTGGGGGTAGAATTGATCGAATTCCTTTCTTAGCGGACGCCTACGTCATAACATCTACCTGCATGCCAAATTTCAGCCGATCCGTCCAGTGGTTTGGGCTGTGCGTTGATAGATCACTATGTCAGTCAGTCACCTTTGAGTTTTATATATATAGATAATAATAATTATAGCATTCAAAGGATAAAGAGTGCCCCGCCCCCACTTCACTTCGTAATAAACTATAGTTTTGCTTGTATAATACATATAAACCTGTCGTGAAAATTGTCGAACTGATGATGAAAATCGTATAGAAATCCGTTGTTAATTTTCTCAAGAGATTTTGATATTTTCGTGTAATACTTACACCAGACAGGGACTTTGTTTTACAAACATAATCGTGCTGATGTAACCTGATACTACGGAATTGACTTACTACGAGCGAGTGTTCATAGGGCAAGGTCACACTGGCCGTCCAGCCCCCACCATTTAGACTGATATTCTCATGGAAATACATAGTTTGCATGCCCGCTGTAGGCGACCTTTAGCACTTCACATAATGCCTTTATGGTAGGTAGGCATTTGTGCTTAACGATTCCGTCGATAAGACGTTAAACAATCATCTTGAAGAAAATATAATGAAATACGTGAGTATTTTTTTTTCTTTTATTGGCGCGCAATGCTGTGTTCGTAGAAACCAAGCTTCCTGCTCGACGGACCAAACATCTTTTCCGTAGGAAACGTAGACCACCCACTCAAATGCCCATATCACACCTCAGAGGTGTACGAATACCAATGGTCAGAACAAGTCACCATACTCCACCCAGATGAACTATTAGTTGGACCACGGGTAGAAAATTATTTAAATACACAGATTCGGTCGCTAGTGATATGAAAATAAAAATCAATGACAGTAATAATTTAAGTTTATGTTCTGCTAAACCCGAATGCCATTTCAGGTATGTTCTCCCTTCGGCTATATTTATCGATAACGCTTAGAATTACATTTGCTGCTTGAAATAGATTTGTATCTTTTGGTAAGAATATCCTTGGTGTCGTCGAATAATGTCAGATAAAAAATTTCAATTAGCTCTTAGTTGCTTTTTATACTGGCTCTTTTGAAGTCTCCCGCCAGAAATACACAAGCCAAATTGATTTTTGAGTTTTACGAGTACTTGTGACAGCGTAAACTGAATAAATGAGTGAGTTTCTTAAGGGCAAGGGGCTGAGATGTTATGAAGTTTGCATATACTACCCTGACCGAGGGTGGCCGTAAATTTTATTATCAAACCATCGTTGAAACGTTTTATGCCGTTTCATTAACTTTGCGGTCAACCCCATGCTGCTAGTAGGTACTCGCTTTATTGCTTACTTTTTAATAGGCTACAAAACTCTAACGATCTGGCTGTTTTATGACAGTTAGAATACTGTTTGCGTCAACTTTTATTATTATGATTGCTGAGGAGTGTACTTATGTAAGTACCAGTTAGTTTTTCCTGGAGTGTTTTTTTCAATCTTGGACTTTTTGTAGGTTCATCGTTTGAGTAATTGTACTCGGTGCAGCATAGTTGACTGTGCGTTTAATTGTAGGGTTGGCTTAGTACTTATGTTATAAAAATTGGGACAATTGCACGTTGATTCTCTAACATACGATTTCCCTGTATGCAGGTTGTTCGAGTATATGAATTTTATTTTATATATTAGTACTAATTACGGGCAGCTACAAAAAGTCTCTGTTAAATTTGGTTCTTTAACATTATATTGAATATAACATACTAATATGTACCTATACCCACCCCAAATCTTATCCAAACGCCTAATTGATTCACTTATAAACAATAACCTCTTACCTTAATCCGACTCAACAATATGAGGCATCCTGAATTCAAAATAAATTGTAGAAGAATATCCAAAGCTTCTAAATCCTAATTCTTTTGTTGAGTTAATCTAGGTCTTTAGTATGACTCCTTAAGAATCTCTTATCTATTAGACAAGTCCGTCCGTCCGTCCGTCCGTGGTGCTGTTTCAGCGGCCAAACCGTAAGAGATAGATATAGAGAATGTTTAAGTTATAAGTTAAGAATAGTCTGATAAGACTACAAACCGGATGTGAGTAACGTAGCACTTCCGGTTTTCGAGAAATCACGTGATTTCTATTTCAAACGAAACCACACAAAATCTCCGAAGTTCTCAATTAATTAAATACATTTTTTTTTTGGTGAACATTTGGTTCACTGGTTTGCTAGTTTTAATTTAATTGTAGTAGGATATTTAAAAGTGTTCTTGTTCGTTTTTTTGTGTAACCGTATACTGACCGCAAACTGTAACAACACCACTTGTTCCTATAAATCTCTATGAAAGCCGCGACGCGTCACCTGCAGCTAGGATTGCCACCCGTGCTTTATTATAAAGTATTGTACGTTATTTCGGGTAATTGTACTCTATACTTTAATTATACCAACAATAAAGTACGTGAAAATACTTTATTTAATGTGATTTAATTACTCGGGTATTCATTTTACATAAAATATACAAAAAGAGGTTGATAGGAAGAATAATTGCGTAAAACGGAACGACAGTACGTATAATATGTCGCTCTTAGCTCATTCCTGCAACATTGTCGTGGCTGTATGGCTTTGTACAATAGCTTTTCCCATAGCGGATAACAACTACAGATTTTTAGTGGCCACAAATTATTTATTAAAAGTTGCTAGAAGCAAAACAAAATATATTTTTAAGCTTACTAATAAAGTGGACTAATAGTCCGGTCAAATTAGCTTCAAAAATAGGGGTAAGGTTACATTAATTTGCACCTAGCTGATTGATTGGCATGAATGTTGGGAACCCTATTACACAAAATTTGTCAATTATCCACATGAATCCAACGTGTGGAAAAAAAATTATTCAAGGTCAAATGTTGCAAAAATCGGTTTTTTGAGTTTTCCAGCTAAACGGTAAGTTTTATTATAAAAATAGGTGAGACAAAAATTATTCATCATGCAATTATCTATAAAAATTGTACATACACTTTTTTCCTAAGAATCACCAAAATGTTGAAAAAGTCGTATTCTTCATAATATGTATGTAAATTACCGTATACGTTACAGAACGATAATATAAGTTAAAAATAAAATTGTTTGAGAGACAAGATTTAGTTCATTGTGCTGACGTCTTCAAAGAAAGTCCACAAGCTCTACTCCACGAGCTGTAATCACCAACGGAATTCGCTTTCTTCTTTCCGTTTACGGAGCTCCAAAAAAATTAAGTGCTTAGATAAGTTTCGATACTTATCTTTTGCTAAAAATACGCATAAAAAAATACAAGTACAAGCTTGTCTTCCTCCAACCTCTGCTTCTGCTCAGCAACATCTATTTCGGGTATATAATCAAGTTCAAGTATGGCTCGGTAATAAACTAAACCCAGGAGACTGGGGTTGGAAGTTAATTGACAATATATTGAAACCAGTTAAGACTTTACTCCCTCCTGCACCGGAAAACTCCTCAATTCAATTTTTTGCAATTGCAAAACGGGGTGTAATGCTAAATGCGGCTGTAAAAAAGTTGGGTTATCTTGTTCATTAGCATGTATCAGTTGTCGAGGCCAATCGTGCTCCAATGTTCAATCGCCAGTAGAAGAGGATTCTTATGATATAGGCGTCATCTGATGCATCGCTCTTTGAACAATTTATTTACTACCCAACAGGAAGAAGAAGAAGAAGGAGAACAAGAAGAACAAGACAGTATGGATTATGTTCCATTAGAAGAGTATTATCAATCAGACGAATAATTTTCTCTTATACTCATTAATTACACCGCTCTTGTCATTACAATAGTACCATTTTCAATTTAATACAATAGCTTTTAACTCAACAGAACCACAATAGATCGTGGAATAGACCTGCCAGGGAAACCACGTAAAAATAAAACGCACCATTTACACTACCTCACGGGTGGCGGGGAAACGTGTGCATATTATGAGTGACACAACTTTTTCAACTTTTTACATCGCTATATCTCCGAAATGGTGATGCTTAGGAAAAAAAGTGTATAAACAACTTTTATAGATAATTGCATAATGAATATTTTTTTGTCTCGCCTATTTTTATGATAAAACTTACCGTTTAGCTGGAAAACTCAAAAAACTGATTTTTGCAACATTTGACCTTGAGTTTTTTTCCACACGTTCGATTCATGTGGATAATTGACAAATTGTGTGTAATAGGGTTCCCAACATTCATGCCAATTTTTAGCAAGGTGCGAATTAATGTAACCTTGAATGTCTATTTTGACCGGATTATAAAATGTACTTTACTTTGGGCACAATGTACTTTTTTTTTCTACCTATAATATTCAATATACTTTATTAGAACAAAAAAAGACGGCAACCCTACCTGCAGCCTGACTGAAGCATGGTTCTATGCATTGTGCAGTCGCGGCATGCCGCCGTACTTAGAAAAGCAACCACGACCGCAGGTGACACTGCGGTCGACCGCAGTCGCTAGCCGCAGTGTCTGCCACCCGTCTCAGAATGATACCATGATGTGTTAATCTTTGTGTTTTATTCTGGCAACTCAACGATCGTATTTGTAATTTCTCGCAGAGTTCCCCGCCTCCTTTCAATCCATCGGGCCGCACAAACGACGACGACGCGATAGTCTCCATAATGGAAACTGCTGAGGAGTTCATCTACATATCGGTCATGGACTACGCCCCTGCTCTCGAGTTTGCTCCTAAGTTAAAGTAAGTTGGTACAAACTCAGATTTTTATTCTTAATCTAAAGCATATTTTAAAGAGATAAAATTAGTACCTATAATGCGATTCAAATAAGAATAGGAAAGCCAATGACCTCTATATGTCAAATGTCGCTTGAAAGGTACGGTTTGCAAAAAAAAACTTGGAACTCTTTTTTAGCAGTCCGCTAATTCAAGAATAAAAACCAAACATTTGTAAACAAACAGTAACAAATATTGATAATTAATATCAGTTGATATTTTTTTTCACTTATTGAGCTTTCCTAATTGAGATAACCTAAATCGTCAACCAAATGTCACATTAAGTTGCGTTCAGAAACTCGATTTCACACTTGTTTACATAAAGGATGCATATTCGTATGTAACCTAGTAATAGTGCATGATTATTCATAACTACTCCGGCGGTAATGCAGAGATGAGCGGAATAGAAGAGCTAGATTCTGATTAATGTTTTTTCTCACAGCCATAATAAATAAATATTATTAAAAATCGGTGGTTTTTGTTTTCTCAATCTAAGTAAATTAATGTTATTAAAAAATTCTGATGCTTTTTCTCACTTAATCTTAGGAAATAAGTTTTATTGAATAAAAATTTTTTTGCTCACTCTACCTATTTGGTTTTAATTGACAGCTTTGACATCACAATATAGCGTCCAGTCGGTCCTATTCTTAGTTGAATATACTATTTAAACTTTGATATTTCGCAATTTTGGAGATTAATCTAATCACAAAACCATTTATACGTTATATTAAAAAGCCTATTTTATGTACAGTTAATAATCCCGATTCCATGACAATTTTAAACAAAAATAGTTGATCACAGAGCAAGTTTTATCCTCCACCCACCGCGGCTGCGGAACAGCAACTCGCGTAGTATATAAAATTAAGATTAAACGCAAAAGAAAAACGTACGTCGCGATTAGCGCCCGCAGAGAGCGCGGATGTTTGCGGCACTTAGTTTTACAATAAAACAGTTCTGCGGCCACGGCGGATGCAGGAAAAAACCGCTCCAATGATTTCTTAGCCTATAATTACTCGTAAGTCGTCGGTGTAAATGTGGTATTGTTAAAACATGTTGCTTTTCTTTCGTAAAAATCTATTATTCCTTTTTTAATTAATAAAAAACGTCACCCAATAGATTCTGGCCGAAGATAGACGACGCTATTCGCCGCGCGGCTCTTGAGCACCGCGTCAAAGTGAAAATGTTGATCAGTTGGTGGAAACACTCGCACGCGTCCGAAGTGTACTTCCTGCGGTCCCTGATCGCACTCACGCAGTCTTACCCCAGAGTGGACATACAGATAGTGAGTATAACGGTCTATATAATATAAATGTTGATCAGTTGGTGGAAACACTCGCATGCGTCCGAAGTGTACTTCCTGCGGTCCCTGATCGCACTCACGCAGTCTTACCCCAGAGTGGACATACAGATAGTGAGTATAACGGTCTATATAATATAAATGTTGATCAGTTGGTGGAAACACTCGCATGCGTCCGAAGTGTACTTCCTGCGGTCCCTGATCGCACTCACGCAGTCTTACCCCAGAGTGGACATACAGATAGTGAGTATAACGGTCTATATAATATAAATGTTGATCAGTTGGTGGAAACACTCGCATGCGTCCGAAGTGTACTTCCTGCGGTCCCTGATCGCACTCACGCAGTCTTACCCCAGAGTGGACATACAGATAGTGAGTATAACGGTCTATATAATATAAATGTTGATCAGTTGGTGGAAACACTCGCATGCGTCCGAAGTGTACTTCCTGCGGTCCCTGATCGCACTCACGCAGTCTTACCCCAGAGTGGACATACAGATAGTGAGTATAACGGTCTATATAATATAAATGTTGATCAGTTGGTGGAAACACTCGCATGCGTCCGAAGTGTACTTCCTGCGGTCCCTGATCGCACTCACGCAGTCTTACCCCAGAGTGGACATACAGATAGTGAGTATAACGGTCTATATAATATAAATGTTGATCAGTTGGTGGAAACACTCGCACGCGTCCGAAGTGTACTTCCAGCGGTCCCTGATCGCACTCACGCAGTCTTACCCCAGAGTGGACATACAGATAGTGAGTATAACGGTCTATATATATAAATGTTGATCAGTTGGTGGAAACAGTCGTACGCGTCCGAAGTGTACTTCCTGCGGTCCCTGACCGCACTCACGCAGTCTTACCCCAGAGTGGACATACAGATAGTGAGTATAACGGTCTATATATATATAAATATTGATCAGTTGGTGGAAACAGTTGCACGCGTCTGAAGTGTACTTCCTGCGGTCACTGCTGACCGGAGGCCCCCCCCCGAACCCCCCCCCCCCTCTTGCCCGCGTCCGGGGCGGGTTTATGTCACACTTGCTATAAAATAGTGTACGATACTTGTAGCCTAAGGTGTCTATTACTGCACGGCGTTTAGCACCCTAGGCAACTTAGGTCACGCGTATCGTAATGTACTATTATTTCTCACATACATGTAAGAGACCAAGTAACAATAATAATATAATTAACAACATGATGTAGAATGTCATTAAAGTTAATAAAATATTTAAATTTCCATTTTCACAATCATAGAGCTGTTCCGTCATATGTTAGCTTGAGTAGCCATATTATGAGCTTGGTTTTCTTTTACTCATTTTTTAAATTTAATCAATCATTACACCGAGGCTATAATTTAATAATTTAATACTATCTGTCTTTAGGAGTTTAGGGCAAGTGCACTTATTGATAAATAAGCAAGAATGAACTATTAAAGAGAGATCATTATGCTGAATTTGCCGTCAAGGATAATTTGGTTTTTGTGACATTCAGGGTTAATAAGTGCCACCACAACCAGTTGGAAACCACATTCAGCCCTTCCTGTGCCCAATCAAAAACTCTTTCTATGAATTAGCTTGAAACAGTAGAGCAGTGTCATCAGCGAATGCTATTATTTTACCATTGGAGAGTTCCAATTGGCATAAATCATTAATCTACTATATAAAAATAAGTCGGGTTTTCCTTCCTGACGCTATAACTCCAGAACGCAAGAACCGATTTCCACGGTTTTGCATTCGTTGGAAAGGTCTCGGGCTCCGTGGGCTTTATAGCAAAGAAAATTCAGGAAAAATTAAAAAAAAAAACTTCTTTTAATCACCAAACGAAATGTTACATAAAAAGAAGCCATCTGGTGGCGAAACGGAGTTCGCCGGGTTTGCTAGTGTATACTAAAAATAACGTTGGTCCGAGAACACTGCCCTGAGGGACACCGAAATTAACTGGAAGCTCCTCGCTAATCCATATCCCGATTTTAATAAGCTGAGATCGATTCGATCGAATATTGCAAAGATAATCAGAAAACAGTCTCAGAGCTAACCCTCTGATTCCGGTGGCTTCAAGTTTTGAATCAAGATTAGGATAGAGACCGTGTTAAACGCTTTTGCGAAATCAAGGAAAACTGCTATCACCTTTCTCTTCCCATTAGTGGTAACTTAATTAGACAATTTATGAACAGCGTCATCCGTTGATTAACCTTCATGAAATGAAACTAATCTGTAACCTTTGCACGGATCAATATCGAATTTGTAACGTTTGCGAGTCCGAAATGTCAGTGTCAAATGTGTACTGATTTTTAGTTCTCGTTACGTACTTTGTGGCGCTGCTGTGCAAGTTTCCATACAAAATTTTACATTGATAAAATATCAATGTAATGATATATGCACTCGCAAACTATTCAAATTCGATAATGGTTCGTGCTAGGGGTACTGAATTATGAAGTTAATCACTGATTCCCTTTTATTCTCCTTTAGAAACGTTTCGTCGTGCCTTCTACACCGGACCAAGAGAAGATCCCCTTCGCTCGAGTGAACCACAATAAATACATGGTGACTGACAGAACTGCTTACATCGGCACTTCCAATTGGTCCGGGGATTATTTCGTAGACACTGCGGGCGTCGCGTTCGTATTCCAGGTACAGATGAAAAAAAACAGTTTTTTTTCTGGAGCCTTTTTTTAAACGAGTACGGAAATCATAAGTTAAAAAAAATACCTAAATTAACGTTAAGGTGTCTTAAGATTTTATTTCTACAAAAAAAAATTGCTAAAAGAAATATTTTTTGTACTTTGATAAAAATATAATTTCCTTTCCATACAAAAATATAACATGTACTTTTATTTTCATTTCAACATGTAGCAAATGAATGCTTAAAAATATAAATAACTTAATGCTAATGAATGTTTGTTTTAGGTATAAACGTATTTAACAGGGATCATTTGAAAAATTATAGTTTTTAAAGCAATATAAATGTGAAATCAGACAACAAACCTTAATAGGACTTTATTTTTTAAATATTGTTTTCTTGATAAACCAAATTTAGCAAAAAACAACGGTCCTAAGTTTTTTTACAAAGTGGAAAAAAATAGGTGTACTTTTTTTTTCATTTTACATCACATATTCCAGGACGAGTCCCATGGAATGTTCCAGAACATATCGCAGGACATTAGGAAGGAACTCCAAGAGGTCTTCGAGAGAGATTGGACTTCCCCCTACGCTGTTCCCATGAGGTTATAGCGACCTACTAGAAGTATATAAATATACTCTTTATCAACTTGTATTAATTAAGCCACCCACTTGCAATAAATTTGCTAAATCTCGATTTCACTAAAACTAATTTTATCTCATACAATAACTCAAATCTAGATTTAAAAATTGAAATTATTGTCGGGACTAAATCTACTTCTAGATATATCCAGAATTTAGCAAATTTGCTGCAATTGGACCTAAAACTGTTTTTCGTTTTTCCAAAGATTTGGAACACGAAATGTGGTCTATAGTCGAATAATCTTGCTCAAGTTGTATGATACTGTCGCTTTTGTGATAACCTAATAACGCATAGTTTTCTTTATGTCAATAGCTTCATTAGTTTTGAATATGTTTAGTTGATTTGCAGATTTGATCGGAATAAATGTAAGGTAAACAAGTATTGTAAGTTCGGCTGTGTTCAAAGAATTAGTAAAAAATATATATATTAGTTTTCGGCAATATATTTTAGTGAAATGTGCCAATCTCTTGTTAAATAAAAATTTTGATGTTTGCACGCTATTCGACTATAGATGTAATGTCGTTTAGTGATATCACTTGTAAATATACTCTAATCTTATCATGATATTATTAATGGAGTAGGATTGAATTTCTTTTGGCAAATATTATTAAACATCTTCCTACAAGTCTTGATTTTAAATCTCTCGGTGTGTACTTGATGTTTATGTTAAAAATTGAACACAGTTTAAAGTTTGAGAATGTAGGTGAGATACTTTGTATGTTTTTATGACTTGTTCCTTTTTATATGAATAGCTTTTTTTAAACTTACGAAATCTTGTACAAAATACTTAAATGCTATTTTTTATCTATAATAATGAATGAGTATTAGTAGAGTAAGGGGTCTTTATTATGACATCTTTGTTTTGGCATGGTAAGTATAGAGAGAAGCTTTTAAAGAAGACCTTCGATATTTTCTCAATTTTGTACCTTGGTACAACTTATTTAAAAAAAAACTTAAAATTGTACTTAAATATATAAAAAGACTCATTTAAAAATCACAATAAATTACAGCTATTACTATCGGTTTAAATTTATTTCCTTGATTGTGATTGGTAGTATCAAAATCACGTAATTTCCATAGCCACTTGTTGCCAACTTAAAGATGTACGTGTCGCCATTAGTTTAAATTTTTGAACAACATTTTTATCGAACTCTATTATATTTTGGATGTATTCGGCATATTTTTCTACACACTAATGCATGATGATACTTGAGGTACAAAATAAGGCAGAGTTGTATGGAGAAAAGAATGGATTTTTCCTCCGAATTTAATTAACGTATAGGAAATTGTCAAGAAAGATTTACATAGAAAAGAAATAGTGAAAAATTGCAGAGCAATTTAAAACTACTGGGCAATATGATCCAAATTGATTTATCTTATTATCACGGAATTATTTCACTACAATCGACTCATCCATCACAGATGGTATAAATACCGAAAAACTTTTTGAGCAAAAGCACAAACAAATAAACTTGCGCAGTGGACGTGTTTGCATGTAAAATTGCTACTGCGCAGGTTTCCTTGTCTATGGTCGTTGCTCTCTAAGTTTGCCGGGGTGTTTATTGAACATTGACGATTAATTCGCTCACCATGCCAAAACTTAACTTAAACTTGACTTTAAACAAATTGCCATATTTATCGTATGACAGTCGTGTGCCTTCGATTTTGTATAATGTATGTGTGGATAAATCTCGATTCTAAACTTGATGTCTTATATCTTATATCTTGATGTTATATCTTTGCGCATTCGATGCGAATTCTATTGTTAATAAATTATATGTCGCGATCAAACGACGAATAAATGATGTTGTACAGACAGCCATAATGTCAAGTTATTCAAATTAGTCTTTATACGTCTTAATATAAGATTCATTATCGATTTATTGATTTGATCTGTTTTAGCTATTAAAACCTGTGCACTTGGTTTTTTTTTCTACGTGCAATTTACGTTTAATTCCAATTTACTTATACACGGTGAATTTTGAGTGAGACGAACTTCTTAGTAATCCATGGATTTGTAGGAAGGCCAAAGGAGATTTTCTCTCCGAGCTGGGTGATGGTAGCTCGGGGGCCGCGGCCCGTGTTATGTCGGTCGGGCATTGTATATATGGAGTGTTAGCCTCCGAATTTCTCTTGCGCGATGTAGGCTTCCATACGTTGTGAGCGCAGTGCCGGCACCGCCATGTCTTGAGGATGGCGAGTGACTATTTTTCCATGTTGATTATATGTGGGGCATGTAGATGTCGCCGCCACAGATTCAGCGTGCGGGTGCCGGGTCCATCGTGTGGGAGATAGAAAAACTTTGAGCTGTTCCCGAGACTTGCGACCCAGGGGGTCAATCGCCTAACGGGATTGCTATGGCTACCGAAGGTTTTCAAATGCCTCGCGCTCTTTTTTAAAAAAATGAGCGTGAGGTACTCGAAAGCCCTAAACGGTCAGAAATAACAAAATGATTTCGTAAGCGGTAGCGATAGCCATAGCAATTCTGTTAGGCGATTGGCCCCCTGGTGTAGGTTTAAGGAGGCCCCCTTTAAGATGCGCATCAACGCTCACCTTCACTTATCGAGTTGCCCGCCCTTCCTAGCCAAATATGCTATTTAACAAGTTTTAGAAAACGATCTCACGTTATTAACTAATATATAAAGAGTTCATAAAAAGGATGGATATTTTAAATTCTGTTACGTAATTCAGTTTAAAAAACTCATTTAGAAATTCAATATTCAAGGCGCGAAAACGTTTATCTGGCGTCTACATTATGGCGTCTCACTAGTGTTTGACGTCACACTACTGTCATTAAAACGTCAAACGATACATTGTAATGTCACTTTGGCGGGAAGTTTACTAGCGTGTGACATCATTTTGATCTTGGCCAATCCCAGCCGTTTTCGATCACGTGACCATGGAGAAAAAAAATAATGATTTTAAAGAAAAGTTATTATTTGTTCCTTCAAAATAGTATAATCTCCGCTAATATTAAGTACAGATGCCAACAATTGGTACATTATTTTTCATACTGTCAAATAGTCTATTTGATAAGGAACCTGTTAGCGCAGCCTTAGTTACTGGTTCCAAAATTGAACTTCCTGCAGTCCTCGACAGGCCTAGGTCTTTTAGAAGGTCATAGAGAGATTTTGCTGGTATACCTCTCGCTCCTACTTCTACCGCATACAAATTAACTATATATCCATTTTTGAGTTAGTTCATTGGTTAGATCGTAATATTTTTTCAATTTTATTATGTGGTCTTTTGGAATGTTAGTTTCCCACGGTACAGTAAGCTCTATTAGTACTATATGTTTGATGTGTGAAAAGAGGAATATGTCCGGCCTGTATGACGAAACACCAATATCCTCTGCTATTTTAAAGGGCTTTTCATACGTATCAATTAAAATAGTCCAGTCATGTGCAGTACCTAGGATAGAGAAAGGTTTGGAGTTAACAGTTGAGCCTTCTTTTATAAACTTAATTTGTTTTTTTATTTGTGGGTAATCCTTTTTGGGCTCTAGCTACTGCAAGACTTGCTGCTTCACGTATGACCTCAAGAACTCTACCGTAGCGATGTGAGTGATCATCGACCCCTATCAAGGAACACCTTGCAACCTACCAATATGTGCCTAGCAGTACCTATTGCCTCACCAAAAGTATAGCGATGTTTCAGAGGTTTTCCCCCATTTTACTAGGTTACTCTGGTTTGGGAGGGTCAATTTGGCAAAGGCATTGAGATAAAATTTTAGTAGAGCAGGAGACCAATCATGTAGTAAAGTGCGCCACTTCAGAGCTATTGGAATACGGAACTCTCCTATGGTTATCCACTCACTTTGCATTTCCAATTTGATTGCGTGTACTTTTCATTTTCGTCTTATTGTAGGAAATATTTTATTATGTCTCGATCCACCATTTTCTTTGCGGAACCCAGCCCGACTCTATGAAATTGTACACCTGCAGAATCTTATGAACCTGTGCAAATGAGAAACTTAAAAATCGTTTAAGAAAAGTAATGCGAACAGTAAATGTTAACAAATAAACTTACTACATCCCCATACAAAAATATTGATTTATACCGCTTACAAAATATCCTAAAACGGCGCAAATTTGTAAAAAACATACCTAGGTATTTAATATAACCTAAATAGTTGTCTGAATTAGCTAGTAAAGGTTCTCAGGCAACTCAAAATTCACGGTGTTATACATTGCAGTCTTCAACTTTGGCATAGTAGATGCGACGATGACAACACGTAGAAAAATACCGGTGTATTTAGATCATTAGCAATTTACTCGATTCTTGCTATAATAAGTGATATTCTTATCTAAAGATTTCCAATACGACGGAAAGAAATTCCTGGAGCATTCTTAATGAAAATGTATGCAACTCTTTTTTTGTTTGACCCACTAAATAATTTTTCTTTGAGATTAAGATTTCTGATGTGTACTTTTTCCAGGATTCTATATCATGAAAGATAAATAAATATTTGTTTCTTTAACTGAACTTTTTCGAAAAACAGGCAAAGTAGTCAAACTATTTACCTTCTACAGTGCAAAATGTTAAAATAAATCGATCTTTTAATTTTGTAAATAAAGTTACGCACTCTTCTACACTGGTTTTTTATTTATAATTATTTATTTAATAGGTACAAAAACAGAGTGCAGTTATTACCTGGTTAAAAAACATAAATCTGATAAAAAACCAAACTGCCATCCACAACAGTGCAAGTAAAATAACAGCATAAGTAAAATTATGGCAAAATAAATACAAAATTAAACCTTAAAACTAGGCTAAATCTTTTGACACCGGTAATAAAACGAGGAACCAGGGCCGAACAAACTCGAGATGCTTCTTTTGAAAACTGAGAAACGGGAGTTCAACTCATCAATAGCTTTGTTGTTTTTTGTAAATTTGACGACCTCCGTGGCCGAGTGGATTGTACGCCGGGTTTCATGGTGTCGCCGACTCGAGAGGTCCCCATTCGAATCCCGGTGGGGGCAGATGTTTGTGTGATGAATACGAGCATTTTAACTCCAGTCATGGATGTTTATATTTATTTATATATGAATATACTTATATATGTACAGTATATGTATTCTATCCGTTACCCTGGTATCCCATAACACAAGTCTTACAGTGCTTACTTTGGGCCTAGGCTAATTGGTGTGTGTAATAAAAAAAAAACGTTAAAAGTTCTACACATTCTGTGTATAGCATTATAATAATAGGTGCTTTTTTTTAAAACTCCAATTGCACATGTAGATTTGAAGGCGGAATCATACAACGTATTAACTTAGAGTGACGAGAGAAAAGCTGGCGCATCGATGCATGAGAGCAGAATTTTATGAAGACCAAAAGTAAATCATATTTTTTACGCCTGGCCTGTAAGGAGACAACACCAAATTTTGACAATCGGCCTTTATAATTATTAAGGGAACAAACAGGGAGGAGCTCGATGGCGCAAGTGGTTAGCGCGATGCAGCTGCGATCATTGAAGTTAAGCAACTTTCGCAGTGGTCGGTCGTTGAATGGGTGACTAAAAATTTACTATCTCGAGTTCGGAAGGCACGTTAAGCCGTTGGTCCCTCCTGCATCTGCAGTCGTTAGCACCCACCAATCCGCACTGGGCCAGCGTGGTGGGTCATGGCCCTATCTCCCTATTCCATCCATAGGGAAGGCCTGTGCCCCAGCAGTGGGGACATTAATAGGCTGATGATGATGAAGGGAACAAACATATTTAAATGTGCAAGGAAGGATTCTCAGGAGTTTCCCCTGAACACGTTCAATTCTAGTTACATGTAAGTAATATCTTAATAGAGCGACCATACAGGGCAACAGTATTCAAGGCTACTTCTCGCCAGACTGAAAAAAAGAAATATAACGCTTTGTGGCTTTTTAAATGGTTTAGTTGATCTAATGATAAATTCTAGCATTCTGTTCCTTTTCTTTACAATATGATTATAGTGAGGACTGAAGCTTAATTCATTGTGGAAAAACACCTAAATCTCTTATTAGTGTTTTTCTGCTTAAAATGTTGAAGAGCATCACATTCCTCACCGTCACCAATGTTAGTAAAAGCTTTAGGTCATCTGCGAGAAGGGCAGGGCACGTCAATAAATCAACCAGATCATTCACAAAGATATTGAATAAGAGCGAGGCCATGTGATTATTGCGGGACTCCCGATGTAATGGACCAGATGAATAACTCTTAAGAGTGACAAGTTGGGACCTGTTTTTAGATACGATTCAATGCACCTCAATAAACAAGCATAAATACCAAGATTCCCTTAGAGCTGTGTCTTACTTCTGGATTCTCCATGTTTTCCCCTTCCACTAAGTGAGTAGGTAGGTCTTAAAAATCTTTCGAATTTCAAGGTATATTTACGAATCTACATAAAATTTAAACCACATTCAAAGATGGGCTTAGTTACTTTTTGGTAAAAAAGTAAAATTCGTGTTACGGTCGTACTTACAGACATTTATTAAATTAAATGCTTGTCAAAGAGAGGTGTTGTCATAATCTGTTGCTATCTCAGTGTAATAACTAAAGATTGCTATTGCAAAGGGCATGCTCCTAATCTTTTTTAGTGGATAGAGCAGAGTCGAAGCGTCAATCAGAAATGTAACAATGTGAAGCGCCTAGCGAGTCAATGAACTTAGGCATTATGACCCGTTTTACATTTTACACGTAAAGTGTTACGTAACTATGTAAATATGCATTTGCGTTATAATAAATTAGTATGAAATTAATATTTGTTGTGATTGCTTGTTTCCCTACTCATACTCAACTCACCATACACACGATTAATTTTACATTGGTGACCCCGACGTGATTCATAATAAAGGGACAATAAAAATAGTGTTAAAAGAAGCTTTAAAGTAAAGTTTGTGAAGTGATCGTGTGTAATACTAAAAATAAAAAAAACCAGCGATGCCGGACGTGCCCACACAGCAAGGCAATTTCCAGTACCAGCCAATGCAGACTCAAGCTCAGCAATCACAAGGTACAAGTTATACCGGACAAGGCCAGCAACCCACCTTTTCAAGTCCGTCAACATCGTCGCACATGGAAGTGTCATCGATAAGTGTAACCGCCAGAATTCCAGAATTTTGGACTGAGATGCCTCGGCTGTGGTTCGCTCAGTTCGAATCAATAATTTTGCCACAAAAACAGGGGGATGACTGTAAGTTTCATCTGGTTGTATCAAAATTAGGCTGCGAAACTTTACAACAAGTCGGTGACCTACTATTGAATCCACCAAATGAACAAAAATACGGAGCGATCAAACAACGACTGCTATCAATGTATGAGAAATCGGCAGAACGACAGTTCCAAAAATTAATCGGGGAGATGGAACTTGGTGACCAGAAGCCGTCACAATTATTGAGGAAGATGGCCGAACTCTTGCCGAACTCGCACGAAATGCCAAAGTAGCAGATTCCACGCTCGATAACCTATGGTTACAACGATTAACAGGATCTGTAAGAGCGGTGTTGACAGTCAGCCAAGACCAAAAACTAGACAACTTGGCTGGCATCGCAGATAAAATAATGGAGAACATAAAATTCGCCGAAGTGTCAGAGGTAGCCAGCAGTAAGTAGTCATTTTCCAATGAACGGACTATTGACACAAATCAATAAGTTAACACTGGAAGTCGCAGAGTTGAGAAGCCACCAGTTCAAATCACGAGAACGCTGACGCGAATATCAGTCGAGGAACCGAAGCTGCTCCAGGCCAAGTGCAGGAAACGGAACCTAACTACAGTTTGTCTATAAAGTCGTGACATGAATGTTTGAGAAACTAACATTATTCATGTGTCTGGCAACACCAAACTTATGTACATCAGCTGTCATCGAGTTTCAGTTGTAGAACAGTTTTCCTTTTGTATTTTTTATTGTTTGGATTAAACTGTAATAAATTAAGACGAAACTACGCAGAAAAGTATAAAAATGAGTAAAGTACCTAAATCGGAGTGGCATTGTTTACATTGCACATTTTGAGGTTAGATTGACATTGTAAATAGGTAATATTGTAGTACAATCATTTCTTTTGATAGGTTATTATGATTCAACTCGGTCAAGTTTTCTACCAATTTTGAATTAATTGCTTCATGTCAATAAGTTATTGTTTCTATTCCGTTACATATTTTTTTACTTTTTTTCAGGAAAATCAGAGAGTCGGATAGTCGACGAAGGTTTTAAGAATGATGGAAAGTTTGAAACTCCTGGGAAATCAGGCAAGGCCGACCAAAGAAAGAAATGGTCACATAAAGAACCATGGCCAGATGCTTTTAGTGAAGATACCTATCACTAATTTTACTAACTGCACATTTACAAATTGTTTCTCTAAATAAACTTTTTATACACTATAAAATGATTTTTAGTATTATTTTCTTAACAAGTGTGTTAAAAAACGTTGTATGATGATACTTGTGTGTATTGATGATTACCTAACGGCTCTGGTCTCAATGGCACTACAGCGGTAATCACCAACATTAGAAAGAAAGAAAGAAAGAAAGTATTTTATTAGCCTTAAAAAAAATAGATTATACAAAACAAATACAATAACAGAAAAAAAAGGCCAACTAGGTCCCTGCCTCAGCATAGTGCCACAGCGACGCCAGGGCCGCTGCGGCGCTGATATTCTGGCAGGGCCTAAGGTTCACGAGGCTTATAACTATATGAAACAATTATTTACAAAAAAAATACAAATCTATACTTACTAACAAAAAATACTAACATATAAAAGGGTGTTATAAAAAACTATCTGAACATGCTTAGTGAACAACAGAGTATCTTTTTGTACATTGTGAATATGTAATAAACGAATTGAATTGAGAGTGGGTGGCGTGTTCCCCAAATATGTGACCGTTTTGGCCACATGTGAGAATGATAATTAATTTACACTTGTTTTAAGTATTGGCCAACAACCCAGAATCAATCCCCGCAAGCCTGTTTACGTAAAGTGAAAAACTATAAATTGAGTCGTAGATTCTATGAAAAGCTTTGCATATGTAGTAAATGTGTTTTCAAATGTTTCCTAAATGTGTAAATTGTATTCAGATTACGCATTGGCGGCGGGAGATCGTTCCAGCATTTCGTGGCTGCAAATCTAAAGGATCCACGAAAAGCTGCTGTTCGGTGCTTCATTGTTACAAAGATATGCCCACACTGCCTTACTGGGTATCGACTGTGATCCCGCATCCATACAAGTTTATTATAAAGATAGCTTGGTCTTTCCTTGTCCAGCACATCAAATAATAGTGTAGCCAGATGAAGTTTCATCCTTGCCTTCATTTTTAACAGTTTTGCAGCGTTCAAGAAAGGAGTCACATGTGAACGAGGAGGTACATAAAAACAGAACCGAGCACAAGCGTTCTGTACGCGTTGGATGAGCTTATTTGTTCTAGACATGAGGCAGGGCCCAAAAACAGTATCACAATAATTCAATTTAGATAAAACAAGCATTTCACACAACTTGATTCTCAGTTGTTCACATAAATAGGGTCTAATTTTATACAGTAGCTTCAATCTATAAAACACATTACACACTTTTACACTATAAAGTACTATTATATCTATAATAATTTTATTCTGATTCAATTAAATA